TACTAGGGGGCGTCTCCCTGGTGCGCGTTACAGGCATTCCATGACAATAATAAATTCCTATTACAAATATACTGAATTATTTATATTGTTTTTGGCCAAATGAATAATAATAATTTATACTGTTAATTTAAATGTGCAAAATACAACACACGACAGGGGCGCCTCTAGTGGCCGATTTTGGCATAACGTTACACGGATGGACACACATTCAATGGGTTATGTATATATAGATATGCTTCAAATGTTGCCACTCGCATGCGACTCATAATGATCAATGCAAGTGTGGTCATGTGCGGACAGACTAAAGAGTGGTAGAGAGTACGCTGTACGAGTCGAAGTTTGTTCGGCGGCTCTATCTCATAAATTCATAAGTTATAAGGCTGCGGTGAAATGAGGCGAGGTAAAATTGGAGTTTATGTTCGAAGAGCCGCAAATGTATATGCAAAGAGCCGCTAATTCCGAGCCCTGGCCTAGGCCATTCAACCAACTGCTATAAAACTCAGCAGTTATATTTGCATACTTCTAACTTACGTAATGTCATACATTACACCCCAAAATATCAATTGGATTTCTATAAATCAATTAATTTCTATCTACATTCAATTTTCAGATTTATATTGGCAAAATATTTAACAAAATAATAAACTAAATATAATTCTTACAAAAAAAAAAGGATTTAATTTTTTTAAATATATACAGTCGAGTCTGCATAAGTCGTAATAGTATAACTAGATACCATCGGTTAAGTAGTCAGTTTTCTGTGGTCCCAGCCAATAAATCGCCATACGTTTTCTGTCCCACACTTGTTTAGACGTCTGATAAGTTGACTCCCCTCCTGAAAAAAAATGAGTTCACACCACACAGCTTAGCATCACAGCAAATTTTGCATTTTCTCACCTTTTATTCATGCTTTATTTGCAGCAAGTGTTTCGGAAACCTAACAATGCTTATGCTGAATTTGAATGTAATAAAACTTTGCAAGCCAAATTTGCAAAACAAGAAAACCTTCCAACAACAACATTGGTGGGAATTCTGAAGAAAAAAGAAGAAATTAAGAAACTTTTTCTTGGGTCTTCACCAAGGCTGTCTTGAAAATGCCAGAGAAAGTCGCCATACAAAGATATTGAAGATGCTCTGGTATGTTGGCTAAGGCAAATTCGTTCATCGAATCTTCCTGTTTCAGAGCCGATATTGAAACAAAAAGCAATGGAAATTGCTGAGGTACTTGGAGTAGAAACCAACTTTAGTGCCAGTGAAGGATGGTCAGAGAGATGCATTGCATGTACTGCATAAAGCACTACTGTATTTTCCTAATTGTAGTTTTGTGGTTTTTTTCAACTTTGTTTTAGTCGTCATATTGGATAACTCGACACATTTCCACTTCCCCTTGAGGTGTCGACTTATGTGGACTCAACTGTATTATATTACTTAATTATTGTGACAATGGTATAACACAAAATAGATGTGCTTTATCATTACTGAGACAGGTAGCATATATGACTTGCCTGAATGGAACAAAAGTGTAACCTTGTGAAAAGTCTCAGTATTTAATTTTCCACATTTAACAACTTGAGTTTTTTCATTTCCAAATGGTATTTTCTTAATTCTAATAAGTGTCCTCCAATAGTCAAGTGGATAAAATCACTGAACATCAGTAGTTAGTTGGTTGTGGGTTTGGGCTTGGCCAATGGGCTGGCCACAGAGTTTTCTTTATGTTAGTAACATCCAGCTTCCCATAAAAGTCCCCATCAAAATGTGGGACTGCAACCTTTCATCACAATGTTCTCAATTCTTTTAATGGTGTCTTGCCCCTGTACATCACACTGTCCCTGTTAGCAATAGAGTTGTGCCAGTTATCTAACTAACTCTGTTAGGGGAAAATTTTGAATTGAAGTAACAGGTTTGTACCAGAAGTCATGTTACTTCTGGTACAAACCTGAAGAAACATATAGAAAGTAGGCAGGCCTGGTCTCCTGCCCTTAAGCTTTCCATATTTGATCTCGACTTTCATCTAACTCCTTTCTCAAGATTAAGGAAGGACAGACAGGTAGGTGGATCAGGATCTTCAGTTAAACTATAATATTGTGAAGAGTCCATTTTAAGATGTTCTTCCCCCACCCCATTTTAATTCACTGTTTTGTATAAAATGTCAGCCTTTCTGATAAACATAGTGAATGTTTTTACACCTTAGTTTTAATTAAGTTTTAAGGTTTTTATGTTTTACTACCTTTTTTTAGTCAAACTTTTTATACATTTTAACAAAAATATATTTATTTTTTCAGGTATACTGTCTTATTATTTTAATAAAATTTTACTACATTTATTTATTTACTTATATTTTTTAATGTATTTCAGTTTTACTTATTTTACTCCACAGTTTTAATAATTAGTTATTTCAGCTGTCACTATAATAATTTTTTGGCAATTATAATTTTAAAAAAATTTAATATATTCTGTAATTTATTACATAGTTTTTTTATCAATATATTTAATAAAGTAAGGACTGAAGAAGGGCATAAAGCCCAAAATGCATAGCCTTTCTAAATTATAGAAAACACACCTACTTTTTCCATCAAAAAGGAATATTCCTGTGTGATTTGTTCTCAACAGCAATTTTGTACTAATTCCAAAGAACATACATCTAATTGAGAGAACAGTAAACAATCAAGTACAGTAGTATCTCAGGATACGAAATTAATCCATTCTTAAACTGAGATTGTATCATGAAAATGTTGTAAGGTGAATCATTTTTCCCCATATGATTACATGTAAAACCAAATAATCCATTCCAACACAAAAAACACACTCAAATTAAAGCTAAGTAGTACATTGAAAAAAAAATAACTTTAGTAAGGAAAACACTGAAAAATGCATTTTGTAGTTGTAAGTGTATAAATAACCATAACAGAATAATAATTAATAAAAAAAAATGTAGTTTTATTTGCCCTTTACCTTTGAGGATAGACGATGGTGGAGGTGTAAATTGGTGGCAGAGGAGAGGGAGAAGGGAAATGATACTAAAATTTAACTTATGTAACATGATGTAACAATAACTTAAAAATAACTTAACACTAATTTTTTTCTCTTTTCTTATTTTTTTATTCACTGCTTTTTGCTTCTTTAATTCACTTCCACCAGCACTTTCACTGGATAGAGGTCATTTGGTAAAATATCTATCCAAAGAGTTTGGCTTTGCCTACTTTTTAAAATGTTTCTAAAATGACTCAGGCAAATGTTATTAAACTGAGCAGCAATACAGCCAGTGTGAACCTTTTTGGTTTTTAATAAAATCGGTCACTTTCTGATAATACCTCAAGATTTCCTTTATTGAGCGAGATCCTTCCACAATAAAGCAAACATGTGGAACAGAAGGAACAAATGATCATGGTGGTGGCGCTGGAAACTAATGTAATGTTGTACGGTAAGTTTTTGTTTGTACCATGGAGCAAAAATATGTTCGAATTTCATGCTGTATCCTGAAAATTTCGTATGATGAAGCATTTGTATCCTGAGGTACTACTGTACTAACATTTTTTCATTATGAAATTTGAAAATATCCAGATAACAAAATTTAACGAAAAAAAAAAAACAATTAAAGATCAAGAAACTAAGGAACCTAATAGCAGTTTTTAAAACTAAATATCAATTTTATCAGATAACTGAACAATGTAAAGTTCCAAGAAATTCTTAAAAAAAAAACTTCTTCTAATAAATACAGAAACACAAACTTTTGTAATGATGAAATTAATATTTTAAAGATACATAGAATTTTTAATTTATATTAATTTAGAAACATATAGAAAGCAGGTCAGGTCAGAAAAGAATCAGAATTCTCAAATCCTAAACACTGAATAAATACATTACTCAGTTTTATCATCTAACCTCTATAAGAGGCCATGTTCTAAATGCAAAACTATAACCATTAATATTACAATTAAACATTAATTAAAACATGCCAAGATGAAATTAATACATTACAAAATTAATGTAAAATGATTAAATGATTAGAAGTATCACAAAACTGTCTTCTTTTAAATTTTAACGTCCTTTTCACACTTCAGGAACAAACTGTCCTCACAATTAATGTTTAATTGTAAATTTATTTTATGATTGTGATGAAAACCTGGAAATATTTTTAACCATTTTTAAATATTGAGGTGGGGAAAGTAGCCTATAAAGGAAGGTCAACTCTGCCATAAGGACAGTTTGTTCCTGAACCATTAAAAGGACATTTTTGAACCATTAAAAGATTAAAAGTATGTTAAGATTTAAAAGAAGACACTTTCGTGATACTTCTATGCATTTAATTTTGTAATGCATTAATTTAATTTAATATTACACTTGCAAGTATTAAAATATTAATTATTGCAATTTTTATTAATTCATTTTGAAATAATTAATTGTTAATATAATTATTAACAATTAATCATTACTTCATATCTAATGGTTATAATAGTCAAATTATATGGAACATATACACAGACAAAAAGCATAAGAACAAATTAATTGTTAATTTTCATATATTGAAACTTCTGACTATCAAATTTATCAATAAATTTATTTCTGTTTAACTTAAAGTTAATTCCAGCAGTCTAAGTAATAACCAAATAAAAACTAAATGAGGGTTTTGTTATTCTCTATATATTAAAAATAATTTTTTTATTTCTAAAACCTTAAACAACATCAAAATTTTAATTGTCATTCTAATTATCTTTCAATGAAATTGTGATCACAAAGGAATATTAGTATTTGTCACTAATTTATTATACTTGTACTTTATTTCTTTCTGTTACATGTATTGAAACAGAATTTTGAGATGTGCTCTGAGAATCACTACATTTTATTATAAAACTGGAAATAACTGATAATATTTAATAAAAGTTGTAAAATTTGAAACCTTTAAGAATTACAGGGTTCAAACAATTTAAGCAACATAAAGAAATTATAAACATGAGAAAGTCAAAACTTTTATTACAGAAGTATGAAATTGTCAAACCTACCTACGGGTACAGCACCAACAGAGTCAATAATCAGCCACTTTTTTCTTTTGATATTATATTCGATTGTTTTTTCAAAAAAACCATAGTTGGGTGAAAAACCACCAATGAGAACAAGACTTTCATCATCCACCACTGTTAACGTCGAGCCTGCTAAAGCAGGAAGCTCTTTTGGTACCTAATGAATTTTGAATGTTTTATTTATTAAGCTTTGTACATTTAATTGAAAAAAAGCTTTATAGAATGAAATAATCATATAACTCTTTTAAACTCTAAATATGTGATTATAATTTACATTTAATTTTGTCCACATTTTTTCTAAAGTTGAAAATTTCCAAAAATCTCCGAGTACTTCTTCTTTGCCGATACCACCAAAAACATAAATATTTCTGTCTACGAGACTGGCGCAATGAAAACGACGTTCGGGAGGAGATCCTTCACTTTTTGGACTTTTCGTCACCTTAAAAAGAAATTGTATTAAAATTAAATGACATGCAATTTAACTGATTTACTTTTCCATTAATTTAACATATACATTGAAATTTGTCCGCTATTAGGAGATACATGTTGCAGCTATACTGTATTTTAATGCAGTCATCATATAATGAAGAATATGAAGAATTATGAAAACATCAAATTTGCATTAGGNTAAAATTTATTATTAACTTATCAAAATTTTAATTGTCATTCTAATTATCTTTCAATGAAATTGTGATCACAAAGGAATATTAGTATTTGTCACTAATTTATTATACTTGTACTTTATTTCTTTCTGTTACATGTATTGAAACAGAATTTTAAGATGTGCTCTGAGAATCATTACATTTTATTATAAAACTGGAAATAACTGATAATATTTAATAAAAGTTGTAAAATTTGAAACCTTTAAGAATTACAGGGTTCAAACAATTTAAGCAACATAAAGAAATTATAAACATGAGAAAGTCAAAACTTTTATTACAGAAGTATGAAATTGTCAAACCTACCTACGGGTACAGCACCAACAGAGTCAATAATCAGCCACTTTTTTCTTTTGATATTATATTCGATTGTTTTTTCAAAAAAACCATAGTTGGGTGAAAAACCACCAATGAGAACAAGACTTTCATCATCCACCACTGTTAACGTCGAGCCTGCTAAAGCAGGAAGCTCTTTTGGTACCTAATGAATTTTGAATGTTTTATTTATTAAGCTTTGTACATTTAATTGAAAAAAAGCTTTATAGAATGAAATAATCATATAACTCTTTTAAACTCTAAATATGTGATTATAACTTACATTTAATTTTGTCCACATTTTTTCTAAAGTTGAAAATTTCCAAAAATCTCCAAGTACTTCTTCTTTGCCGATACCACCAAAAACATAAATATTTCTGTCTACGAGACTGGCGCAATGAAAACGACGTTCGGGAGGAGATCCTTCACTTTTTGGACTTTTCGTCACCTTAAAAAGAAATTGTATTAAAATTAAATGACATGCAATTTAACTGATTTACTTTTCCATTAATTTAACATATACATTGAAATTTGTCCGCTATTAGGAGATACATGTTGCAGCTATACTGTATTTTAATGCAGTCATCATATAATGAAGAATATGAAGAATTATGAAAACATCAAATTTGCATTAGGAATGTGAATATAATGAAATGTATAAGTAGGATATAAATTTAAAATATACACATGGTATATTATTTATCTATAAACATCAACTCACAGCCCGAGTAGATAATAACAACACCAAACGATCGCCTAATTATCGGGCTGAAATTACTTAGTTCCAATCATTTAAAATAGCCATATTATAGCCCGATAATTAGGCGATCGTTTGGTGTTGTTATTATCTACTCGGGCTGTGAGTTGATGTTTATAGATAAATAATATACCATGTGTATATTTTAAATTTATATCCTACTTATACATTTCATTATATTCACATTCCTAATGCAAATTTGATGTTTTCATAATTCTTCATATTCTTCATTATATGATGACTGCATTAAAATACAGTATAGCTGCAACATGTATCTCCTAATAGCGGACAAATTTCAATGTATATGTTAAATTAATGGAAAAGTAAATCAGTTAAATTGCATGTCATTTAATTTTAATACAATTTCTTTTTAAGGTGACGAAAAGTCCAAAAAGTGAAGGATCTCCTCCCGAACGTCGTTTTCATTGCGCCAGTCTCGTAGACAGAAATATTTATGTTTTTGGTGGTATCGGCAAAGAAGAAGTACTTGGAGATTTTTGGAAATTTTCAACTTTAGAAAAAATGTGGACAAAATTAAATGTAAGTTATAATCACATATTTAGAGTTTAAAAGAGTTATATGATTATTTCATTCTATAAAGCTTTTTTTCAATTAAATGTACAAAGCTTAATAAATAAAACATTCAAAATTCATTAGGTACCAAAAGAGCTTCCTGCTTTAGCAGGCTCGACGTTAACAGTGGTGGATGATGAAAGTCTTGTTCTCATTGGTGGTTTTTCACCCAACTATGGTTTTTTTGAAAAAACAATCGAATATAATATCAAAAGAAAAAAGTGGCTGATTATTGACTCTGTTNGACCAGAATTAGTCCATTGAAGATTTATGTTATTTTTGTTTTTTATTTTATTTTAAATTTTTTATATTCTTCCGTTATTTTTTCTCTTGTAAATTTTTGATTTAAAAAATTTTTATGTTCTATTCATGGAACATTTACGTTCCATTTTTTCGACCTGAAGATGGCCTATTAACTAGGCTGAAAACGTTTGTTTTTTAAAATTATATTTATTTCTCGGCAAAAAAAGGTGTTTTGTTTCTCTTCACATTTACATCATCAGCCTGGCCCTCCAAAGAAGCCCACCCATCCATATTTAATCTAATTAGAAAATCTACAAGGTAGCCACAAGAAAAAAGCCATCAACTATAAAGAGGACAGTGCAATCCCAAACCTGTGGAAAAAAAATATATATATATATTAATTCAACAGAAACATCACATTCCATGCAAGATGCTACATACAACCTTTCCACAAATCAGAGACTATCAACTATCCTCCAAATCATTAAACTTGTTGGAAATGTAGTATTTGTATTTAGGCAGTCTTCATAAATTTCTCATCTGATATCTCCAAATCAATTTTCTTGCATCCTCGCCACACCTAATACATATGTTACTCTCAGCTGAAAAACTTTTTCCAGTCTTCTACAGTCTAATTTTTGTGCTATCTTGACCATTTTAAATGATTGTTTTTTTTGTTTCTTGGTCAGAAAGGGTTTTGTTTTGGCTTTGCAAATGAAAATTTCATGTCATTCAATCTATTTCTTACTGTTCTATCACAGATATTTGTTTTATTTTTATTTCATTCCATACTTAATTATTTGGAAGACATTTTTGATATTTTAAACACATTTTTTCAATGGGTGATCTTAAACTTTGCTAGACAAATACTTCTGACATGACTATTTGTCTCCTGTATCTTTATGCTTTTTCCTAGTGTAATTTACAGTTCCTAATGACACATCAACACACATTGCAACTTCTGTTTGGTTTTTTCCATCTTGTTGTAGCTTTATAATTTTTTTCCTCACATCATTAATAAAACAGTTGGATTGGGACAATTGTTTAAACAAAGACAAGTAAAATATCATATCACTGTTTTTTTAGAAAATGATGCAAACACATCACTTAAAGCTAATGGTTTCTTCCATTCAAATTAGAATGCTCAAATCTATAAATTTAAAAAGTTGTTCAAATACTTTTTCCAACATTTTGTATGTTCAAAACTTTTTCCCAATTCTGTTTATGTAAAAGTTATTTTTTGAAAAAATGGTTTGGTTTATTCATTTGAAATTAAAGAGATTAACGATAATAACCCAATGAACAAAATATATATTTTTGTTTTGAACATTACATTTTTATTTTCTTGTAAAATGAGCTCAAACTAAACAATTTTAGTTTCTTACATCATGTTCAAATACTTTTTGCTAGGGGTTGTATAAACAGAAAAAGTTGTAGGTGCAAGAATAAACTGTATTCAGCTAATCACACTTAAAATATATTACTTTCAATTATTATTATTATTTCTGTTATGTAGGCAGTACTCTACTTTCGTACAATTTGCTATTTCATACACATTTTGTACTTTTGATTTTTATCAATATATATTACAAAATATATATTACAAAATTATTCAGGTAATGATTCCCCCCTTCTCATGAACTATAAGTCATTATTCCCTCCCCAACACTAATCGCATCCATTTCTGATGTCACAGGTTCAGTCTTGAGCAGGAACATCTCAAGTTAGTGCTCATGTTGATAAGTTGTGTCTTGTCAGTTTATGTTAGAAAGTGTGCTATCACATTATAAACATTTTTGCTCTGGTGAAAAAGAAATCAAGGTCTTATAATCTCTATATAATCAAGAGTGTATATCTCATGTATGAAGGGCAATAGAAAAAGACACAGCATGTTACAGAGCTCTTTATAAAAAAACAAAAAGAGTACAATTCAGTTATCTCTTGGAAAATTTATAAAGAAAACACCAGATACTAATAAAAAAAAATAAATAAATATTTTGAAAACCCTTTTTGATGTTTTTTATATTGCTCCACTTTCATGCATTTCAACTTTCATACACATTTCAGGAACAAATTAGGTATGAAAGTAAAGGACTACCTTGTTTGTATACTGTTTAAAATAATTCAAATCATCATATTTAAATAAATATGACTGATATGATGGAAATGAATTTTGATTGCAGGGCATCAGTACACTATGGGCCATACTGTCAATATAATTCAGTCAAGTAAATTCTGTCCATAGTGAGTAACTATGCTTATCAGTAGTTTGCCAACATAGAAACAAATAACAATCTAAACTGTCCATAAATATCATATGGCTTCAGAAGATTTGAATAAATTCTTTTGAATTTATTTAAAAATTCAAAAGAATAAATTGCATGAATTTGAATAAATCCTTGTGTCAAGCCTCTTAACTTCTAGCTTAAATCTAAATCTCCACCTTATGCCACACAGTTCTATAATACTGGACTTATAAATGAAACTTTTCTCAAGATAACAGCCTGTTTGTAACAATCAAAAGTTCTTTTGATGTCTGTTGGAAATTGCCCCTCTGATCTCCTTTTGCAGTCTTTTCAGCATCAAATGTGATGTCACATTTCTAATGTCACTGCATGCTCATTTACACAATACTTGCTAAGAACTGTTTTACAATTCTCTCTTACCAACAACTTTCTCATATAATATTTGACAATATATTATTACTATTATGTTGATTAAATTACCCTTAAACATAATTTAATAACCATCGTTAATTCACCAAATCATAGATGACATTTTAGATTGGGTCTGATGACAAGTCACAGCAGGCAAAGGTAAACCTATCGGTTTTTAACAGAGATTAGTTTTGAATGGAGGGTGCAGATTTTTTCTCCCTTTTACAAAACAAATTTCCCAAATAAATTAAAAATAAAAGCAAACAAAATAAAAAGGCCCTAGAAAATAAAGTAACATTTGGGTTCAATTCCTCACATCTTTACATTAAAAGTTACTAAAATCTGTTTAGTTACCACAAGAAGCAGTTTGCAATTTTTACAATTTATAATGTAGTGCCAACATTTAGTGACTTGTGAAGTTAATGAAATCTACTCATACATAAATCAGATAGTAAACTATAATTCAAACTTCAGTAAAGCATTGAAAACAAACTGTTTAATGTTTAAACATTTCATAAGCTAAAATATTTACCAAGAACAAATACTCTAAATGTTTTTAATAATATGCATTTATATGCATTAAATATTTTGTTTGAAATTCATTGCAGAAATCCAGTAAACAAATTGCACTATTAGAGAAATAATATCTTATTAAATTTCATTTCATTATTTTAGCAATTTATACAAAGACAAGCTGTGCTTGCAGTTTCACCCGTGTGGAATTCAGTTTGTGACTATAACAGTATCAGTTAGATGATATCTTTTAATTTATATGAATGTTTTAGGAACGCATACGGGACAAAAGATATTCATTATTTTAAATGACAACAAATAGGCAAATGTTCAGCACAAGTTCAAACATGTGCACTGCATATCTCGCTGACCATGTGACTGCGCCGCATGCTTACCTATCTTGTATATGTACGCGTCTTGCCCCTCACCACCCACTGACACCAAAAATATAACGCTTATCTAGATGATATCTTTTAATTTATATGAATGTTTAACAGAATAATATACAGCCTATATCCACCCTGAAGTTCCATTCTAAACATTGGTGAAAGAATTTTTGAAATTGGATGAGTAGTTTCGGAGATTACCTCCTACATCCAAACTTACAAACTTTACCTCTTTATAATATTAGTATAGATTTATAACTATAATAAAAATAACTATAATACTGTAACAAAAAAGTTATTAGTTTCATTCAATAATCTTCATAAAACTAAAACTACAGTCAAACCTTCGGTTTCAAAAAATTTGGTTCACAAACAAAATTTTGAACTCAGTTTGCCCAGTTGCTGTACGATGACTTGGTGCCAAACAAGCTACTAGGCAAGAGCCAGCCACAGATGTTCAACTCACTATACTTCCTATATTAGAGAAAGTCAACAGTCCAACCAATCAATGCCAGACTACCGATTCAAAAGTCGGTGGTGCCAAAATTTGCCTCACATGTTTAGATGTCATAACACAAATCATCGACAACATTGCTATTTAAATTAAATTTCAATGCATATCAGGGAAAGTACTATTTGTTTTTTTGGTATGCATCAGTCAAATCTAAATCAAATCAATTAATAAAAACTGTGTTAATTGATATTCACATAATATAAATGGCATCCAAAAATTTGTATTTAAATATGCTTAAATTAAAGTAAATAACAAAAATTTATTAATATAATATTCATATTTAATATTTATTAATACCAGGTAACCAGTTAATTAAAACTAAAAATAAGAATTAAAACTCTTTACTCTGAAACTGAAACAAAAAATAAAATCAAAATTAATTAATTTAAGTTAAAATTGAAATCAAATCAATTGAAAAATAATATTTCAGAAAGTGTGGATAAAGTATGTGTTGTCCTGTCTTCATTGATTTGGTATATTTCATGCAGGCAGAGTTGAGTTTCTTTTTATAGCACTTTGTAAAGTCTTAGTTTTGGTTCAGTTGGCATTAACGGAACATTTTGCTCTTAATATATTATATAGAATATATATAAATAATATAATATTACATTGCATTTGTAGGCATTTTTATGCATAAAATATAGCTAAAAAGGCTAAAAAAAAAAGCTTTGTTTTGGGGTCGGGAATAGATTAATCCATTTTATATTGTTTCTTATGAGAAAATTTTTTTTGGTTTTAAAACAAATCAGTTATTTTAACAACTTTTAAGAATGAACTAATTTTGAAAACCAAGGTTTGACTGTATTTCCATTAGATAGAAGACATTTATATGAAATTTATTCAAGATTTAAACTTATCAAAGAACTTTCTTCCTTATATATAGCTTTTATATAATACATTTTCGTAAATTCTATAATTATTAAATATAATATTTATATAGACATTTGACCTGATTATTTGAATAAACTTTATTACACTAAAAAAATAAAAATCAAATTTACTTATTGTGATATTGTCACAATGCTGGGCTGCAAGCATTAATCATATTGTAATTTAAATTATCTTAAAGTTCAAGTCTATACCAAATTTATTGCTCTACAATAGAATTTATTTTTAACAAATTGCTCAGGCTGTTGAAAGTCATCCACTGTTCCAAGAATCCATTATATCCATATAAGAAATGCTTGTACTTTAATTACTCAGTCTCTTAACATCTCAATCCACAGAATATGTACTGTATGTTACAAGATCATACATACATTATGTCATACATGTGTACAACAAAGCTGATGGAACTGTATAGCATAAAAACAAAAAAGTACAGTACATATCCTAATCAGCACTTCCCTTGACTTCATAATTCGTTAAAAAAACTTGTTCATCTTGGTTTGTTTTGATGATGTTTTTCTGTCCATTGAGTACAACACCAGAAGTAGCTTTCTAGCAGTAATCAATATGCTATAGGAGGGCACTAACGTATGGCTGCAAAGTTAGCAATATGAACCGTGATAATTATGTGCTTATTTTGCTCTGCATCCAATGTATTTTCTTAAATTCAATACCCAAAAATATCCAAATATTAATTAAACATTAAAAAATGCAATGTTTACAGTAGATGGGGCTAGAAAAACATCAGGTTTTCCTGAGTCACAGATACACTAAAAGGAAGTAAAATTTTATTGACTTGACAGGACCTGGAAAAAATCTGCTGTTTCATGATGTTAAAACAAGATTCTACTGTATATAGTAAGGTAAAAATTCTGAATTGAAATCATGTGACTTCCAGTCCAGACTGGAAATTCATATAAATTAATCAGGGCCTCCGACTCCTACACGTGGTCTCAATTTTTATCTATCTAACTTTGTTCTTGAAATTAATGAAGGGTAGACAAATGGACAGATGAATGACAGTGGAAATTTATAAGTCTGCAATTTGAAAATTGCAGCCCAATAAAATTTCTTCTTAAAAAAATGCAAATACATAATATGTTCAAAAATTTTATAAATACCTTTATCCATATATTTGTTTGAGTATCATACACATATAAATCATTCAAATTCCCATAAATGGATGAATATCCTCCAAAAACCCAAACTAAATCAGATAATGAATATTCAGATTTTTTGCTAGCCAACAGTGTATGGCCCATCCGTGGCAATTCTTTGGACAATCTATATTCAGAAGGTCGTATCTTATCCGAATCAAATAAAGTAGACCAAAGTAGATGAGAGTGTTCGAGACGAACGGAGCAATCGGAACCACCATAACCATCTTTACACAGACAAGTTCCATATAACTAAAAAAAACCATTCAAAATTAATATTAACAGCAGAAATTATACGTTTTCTTATGCATTTTAAAATTAAAATTACTTTAACTCACCTGCTGACAGACACCATACCCAAATTGTGATGAGCATTTATTCTTACATATTTCTTTATTACAGGTCACTCCACTAAACCCATTTTTACATCGGCATCTCTCTCCATGGCAAGTTTTGTTTGAAAATTTACAAGAATGTCCACATTCCAATCTTTGATATGTTGCATTAAAACCGTGAGCTGGATTAGTTCGCTTGTAATATATAGTCATATGGCCCGATGTAGCAACTGTTACTATTGGTTTAGACAAATTAAGACTACAGTATGATCCCAAAAGTTTTCCATGGTAACGAGCCGAAATAAATTCGGGAAGACCGTCATATACATATAGATGATTTTGAGGGCATTTAATCTTCATATCAGCATGAATTGTTAATTGTATGTCAGCATTTCTGTAAATTTAAAAAAAAAAAAAGTTAATTATAAACAATAGGATAAATAATTCAATTTTAATAAAAATACTAACATTTCTGCATGTTTTCCAAAAGAATTTTTATCTAATTCTGGATGAACAGACAATATCCAAAGACAATGTGATGGATGAGTAACTCCCACTTGACTTCCTAATAATCCTTTCTGAATATCTGTAATGACAGCACGAGGCTGACATTCTAAGTAACAATGACCTCCATCCCTAAAAAGTGCATCAATTTGATCATTATGTTTTTTGAAGCTCTTTACAACACATCTTGAAAAATACATATAAAAATTCACCTTGTGTCTCCATAATATCCTGGTTTACACCGCTCACAATTGAAACCTTCTGTATTATCCTTACAATAGCACTGACCAGTAATACGATCACAATATCCAGCTGATTCGTCTGCATGATCATTACAATTACATTTCTTACATCCAACAGCAGTTGTTGCATTACCAAAACTTCCTGTCCTGAAATATAAATATAAAACTGTAATTTTTAATTTAACTAAATGAGTAACAACTTTTATTTTAATAAATGCATATACCTTGCTATACATTACATTTTATTTAAAAAATTATAATTTTTTTAAATTAAAATTTAATTTATACACTTTCCTACTTACTTGCACCTTTCACAGAATTGACCTTCAGTCCAATCCTGGCAATCGTCACATAAAGCCACACCTTTTGTGCAATTACTATGATTGTTACAACCACAATTAATACTACAGTCGTGACCCGTCCAACCTAATTTGCATATACAAACATAATCCGGAGCTTCGGAACAATATCCATTAATGCATTCTGATGAACATCTATAATTTGTTGTTTATTAAGGTAAAAGTAATAAAAATTTTATTGTAATAATGGTGAAAACCTTACGTTCTCATACAAGTAGAAATACCATCTCCTTTAAATCCGTGACTGCAAGTACATTTGTAAGAATCCGGGGTATTAGTACAAGTTGCATTTGGGTGACATTTATGCAAGCCTAGCCAGCATTCTTCTACATCAGGACAAGAACTATAAAACCAATCTGTAGATTCTGATGACAATACATTTGGATGAACTTGTGTTACTAATGCTTCACATTCTCCTGAAATAAAATTTTTAAATATTTATTCAAACAAAACAGTTAATTAACATTTCAAATCAAGTAATAAAAAATAATATCAGGTTTTTTTCAGAAATCCTAACATTTATTAAAATTCAGATTCAGAACTATATTATTTTAATATGTTAAATTAGCAAAATATTATCGTCATCATCAGATATAAAAGAATAACATAAAAAGAAGTAATATTTTGCTATTTTCATGCAGGTTCTTAGAAAAAATGAAAAAAATACAGCTGAAAAATTTTTAAATGATATATAATCTTAATTTTTTCTTATTTTAAGTTCTACAACAATCAATTGATCTTAGGTACTTGTCATATTTTTGTGTTGATGAAACTTGTTTTATAAGACAAAAAACTTTCAAAATTATCTAATATCAATAATTCAAAATAAAAACAGCAGGTTGAGATGACATTATATTATTATTATTATTATTTAAGAATATATGATGTAGACAAAAGCACTGAATCAGAATATGTGTTGCTTCTGCTAAGTAATAACTATACTCACCGGCCATGGTAGATTTCAGTCATACTTGGCTAGATTTGTCAACGCCCTAGCTCTAACTGCTCCCTCTGTGGTACTAGTGACAGCAATCTCAATTACATCTTCGACTGTCCCATGTTGGAACTGGAGAGGCACTATTTAAAGTCCACCATTGAAGCACACGGGTACAGCTGGCCTAGTGACTGCTACAGCTTCTTCAGCCACCAAGACTCTTACCTCACTTTTCTTGTGTTCATAAACAACTACTTTGATCGTACCACTGTCACTGTTTACATCTAACTGCCTCACATGCCTGCAGGCCATTCACCTACATCTGTCTTCTGCAATGTTGATGTCACATGCACCTAACCTGTAACCATGTCCTCAGTGCATTGTACCAATGTCCTTTACCCCTGTGTAAACTCGTGTATACTTATTTACTCTGTACAGAAACATCATTACTTTTCTCTATTATGTTGTGTTACTTTAATTACTTAATTCCTCTCGATATTGTACGTTAAATTTACACATCCACGTTTATTTGTATTTGCAATCTCTGTATTTCATGTACCAATATATCAAAACTTAATTCTGTATTTTACATTACACTTGTTTTTATTTTGCTTACATTACATTGTATATATTTGTATATAATTTTCTCTTTATTGTTATTATTATTATTATTATTATTAATATATATATTTTTTTGTTANTTTATTGTTATTATTCTTATTATTATTTTTTTTTTACTTTATATCATCTCACCTCACTCATGTATCCATGTACTTCTATGTATCTAGTACCATGTCTAACTGAGTTATACATTTGTGACATCCAGTATTTACTGTACTCCAGTAAGTTACAATAAAATATCTATCTATCTATCTAAGTAATAACTATATTCAACTGCACTGGTGTATAGATATACAATAGTAGGCAATTCATTGTTTTAGATGCCATATGTTTCCTAATCTTATGTACCATGTGTACTGGTTAATAATGTGGATTTTTTAATCAAAGAAAACACGATAATTTCAAAAAACAACATCAAAAGTACTTTATTCAAAGTAATGCCCATTGCTACCTACACATTCCTCCATCTTTCAGGTAATTTGTGGATACCATCCCAATAAAACTTTCTTGTTTTGAGGCAAACCATTCAGAGACCCATTTTTCCACTTCTTCATATGTTTTGAAGTGCTGCTCAGAAAGTGCATATGCCATCAATTGGAACAAGTGGAAATAAGAAGAAGCAAGGTCTGGTGAGTACAGCAGGTGGGTTAATACTTTCCAGGCAACATTGTTTGACATATCTTTAACTGGTTTCAAAGTGCGTGATAGTGCATTATCATGAAGCAAAATACTTTATATAAATATACATGGCAGTTGTAGGTGTATTTGCAAAATAGTTTGCCGTGTCTTCTGGCCTATTCTGGTCATTTTACAATCAAAACATGGTTTAAATTGATTATTTGTTGTTGGTAATGCTCAATATTAACAGTTTCACCTGGGTTTAGAAGCTCATAACACACCACACCTTCTTGATACCACCAAATGCAAAGCATTGTCTTCTTTCCAAAGTGATTTGGCCTTGCAGTCGATGTTGATGGTTGACCTGGATCAACCCATGATTTTGTGTATTTAGGATTCTCAAAATAAATCTACTTCTCATCATTAGTCACAATTCAATGCAAAAAAGACTTTCTTTTGTGCCATTGAAGCACTATTTTACTGATGAGTTTTTGGTTTTCCATTTGTCTTTTATTCAGTTGATGTGACACCCATTTTCCTTCTTTTAAAATCTTTTTCATTGCTTGTAAACAATCGGAAATTGTTTGCTGAGCAACGTTTAATCTTTCTGCAATTTGTTTTTGAGTTTAACATGCATCTTCATCCAATAATGCTTGTAACTGTTGGTCTTCAAAGTTGACCTGAACAATCATCATCTTTCACATAAAAATCACTAAGTTTAAATTGTTTAAACCAACGTTCACAAGTATCTTGAGATGGGGGATGTTTACCATAAGCTTCCTGAAATATACGATAACTTTCAGCAGCACTTTTCCTCAAAATAATGAATTAAAACTTCCCACAAATGCTCTTTTTTCAGAACAAAATTGACATATTTAAGCATAAAAACATCTATGATGTTCACTTTCAGAAAATTTGACATATAAAGTTTTAAAGCTTATTTTCGATTCAACAAAATGGCATACACATCAAATCAGATATATGTCAACATATCTGTGTTACCGCTAAAGCTCGAAAGCCATTAATGTGTACATTACCTAGCTAATCTCCAGATTAACTAGGGTGATCCATGAATGTGCGGAATTAAGAGTTTTCCGCATTTTACCTAGGTAATCTTCACATTAACGGCTTCTGTATCGTTAAAGTTCAAAAGTTTGTTTCTCTCATTTCCTTTCCCTACTCCTTCCCTCTCTCCCCCCACTTTTAATTTGGTTTTCGCTTGCGTCTTGTCATCGCCAGTTGTTTTTATTTCTCATAATTTGCATCAGCTGCCAGTGTGTCGCATAGCTAATTCTGTTTTCAAATTCATTTCTGCTTGTTAGCGCATGAATTTGTGACGGGATTTTTTTAATTAATTAAAGCAGATAAATTTAACTCCTAGTATGCAAGATAGCACCGAATTGGTGAGTAAAATGAAGAAAAGATTCTTTGCAAACCTCTTTGGCGAAGATTCAATGTGTTTTAATGACAAAACAAAAGTATGATTCCATAATTGAAGATGTAAAGCAAATAAAAGTTTCCAAGAAGAAAGAATCATCTCGAGATTATCGAATAATTCAAAGGTATGATGTGTTAACTGTACAAGGCTGTGAAAAACTCATTGAGCCGTTGTCAGATGTGCAAGAAAGTGTGAAAAAGTTTGTGCATGCCAAAGAATTGTTTGACATATTGTATTTGACTCATTTGTCAATTGGCCATAATGGAAGAGACAGAATGATCAAGCAATTAAAAACATTTCATAAAAACATAACCCAAGCCCAAATAAAAATGTTTTTGAATTTATGCGAACCTTGTCAACAAAAACAAAAAAGTGTGAAAAAAAGGCTTGTTGTAAAGCCGATTATATCATCGCAGATGGAAAGTTTAAGTTTCTTCTCATATACCAAGCTCACTTAACAAAATTTGTTGTATTAAAGCTGCTCACATCAAAACAGGTGGATGAAGTAGCCTATAACTTGCTTGATATTTTTCTCTTTTTTGTTACAAAATTCCCATCCGTTATCAGAATGCAAAATACTTGATTTTGCATTCTGATAACGAACGTGAATTTTGTAATAAAATCTTAGAATGTGTAACACAGTTGTGGCCAGAAATCAAAATGGTTAATGGCAAACCTATACACAGCCAAAGTCAAGGAAGTGTAGAATGAGCGAATCAAGACATTGAAAACATGCTAACTACTTGGATGACTGATAATCAAACTAATAAGTGGAGTGAGGGCATACAATTTGTATTCATGAAGAATCGTGCCTATCATTCTGCAATTAAAAGAAGTCCATAAGAAGCCATGTTCAGTTGTCCTGCAAAAGTGGGATTGTCTTCTTCTATTATACCACAAAGTGTATTACATTCGATAAATATTGAAGACCTTGAAAAATTAGATGATTCACAAGAGACTGTTATTATGGAATCACAGTCAAATCACACTCAAGATGACATTCCGTTATCCCCTACTTCTACAGAATCACCTATAGAAATACAAGAATTTATCGATAGTAATCTTAAACTGCCTTCTACACCATTGTTTGAGAAATATTCAGTTATGAAGAATATTCAGTTACCCTGCACCTCCAAGGAAACACCTCTGCAAGTTGAAGAAGTCATCACTGAGTTATCCTCAACTTCAGCAGAATTGCCATCACAGTTTCATGCAGAGCCTGTAAAGAGCACTATACAAGACATACTCTGTATTGTTTGCTCAAAAGCAGCATCAAGTGCTCACAAGTGTAAATCGTGTGATATGTTTGTTCTCGTAATTTGTGGTGAAGTAGATCCTAAAGAGGAAGGATATGGTAAGAATGTATTGTGCAACATCTGTAAAAAGAATATGGATCAGAAAATACAGCGTGATGAAGCCAAGAAATGTTTAGAAAAGTAAGCAAAGAAAATGTTAGCAGTTTCTAATGAAAAGCACCCAAATGTCAATGAAGGTGTCACTATGAGAATTAAAGTACCCAAAGAATACAGAGCGAAAACTGATGCATGCTCAATTTTAGCTGTGGTTCTTTGTAAAACAGAGGATGGCTTTTATAAACTTGATACTAAAACAGGTATTTTAAAACAATTGTATGCAAAATCTGAATTTAGTGTTTGCAAAGAGAGATTTTTAATGAAAGAAGATGTCCCTGCTGTAGCAATATCTTTACGTCAAACAGCAATAAAACAATCCCTTGGTACTGGGCAGGGTTTCAGAAAATGTGACTGCAAATCTAAATGTACTACAAATAGGTGTGCTTGTCGCTAAAACCAATTGCTATGTAATTCAAAGTATCACCAATCTTTAGATTGCACTAATAAGTAAGCACAATTTTATCATATGTTTTGCAAATTCATTTGCCTAATTGTAATAATATTTTAAACTGTTTGATTTTTGTATTACAGTTTTTTTAATTGATTGATGATTGATTCTATCAACTAAATATGTTGATTGTTTGATTGTATTAACTTGATTCTTTAGATATCAATAATTAAATAAATAACATTATGTTAATTTAAGCGTACAGAAACATTGCTGTTGTTCCAGCAAAGATCTTATTTTCACTTTACCCTGTGCTTAGTAGGTAATGTGCAGATTATCTAGATACTCTGCACATTACCTAGGTAATTTGAGAAATGGAATAATTTTTGCAGCTATAACGGATCACCCTAGTTAATATGGAGATTAGCTAGGTAATGTACATATTAACAGCTTTCAAGCTTTAGCAGTAACATCTGTAATGTCATCTATTGAACAAAATCCACATTATTAATTGGTACACCTGGTATATGGGAACATATCCTATGAAAGGATCTATGATTCTGTAATTCATTTCTGTCACAGAACGTGAGGCTTCTCTGCATAGCCTTGTGTGTGTAAGGCCATGCAGAGAAACCACATACAGTTTCACCACTCATTCTTTTCACAGTGTCCAGCTACAACCTCTTATAGTATTTTAATTAGACAAAAACATTTTAATTAATAGAATCCATCCAATAAACAAAGTGTTACTATAAATATACCTCACTAAACATATAATGCTTTACAGTTATTTTTGGAACATAACTCAAACATTTTCAGTTCACCTTAAAACCTTCTTCAGGTGGAGTTCTAGAAAAAATTTTTTCTGGTGTGATCAAAGTTTGATTTAGCCTCTGATGCATTCTAATTCTGAATGTTTCTATTTTCAAATTTACTTTTCACTTATTGTAGTTTGGTTGTAATGCCATTTTCACTGGCATATATAGCTAAGGCGGTAGTGCTTTTCTTCTTTTCAATATCTGTTTTGCGTTCATGGAGGCATTGTTCAAGCAATCTTCTTGTAGATATGATATAAAGAAGGTCTCTATTGAATCTGTTATCTCTGAGCGAAATTTTATATACTCCTGGTGTTCTTTTGATGTCCGGTCTTTCTCATTCCTTAGCATGTCAAATGTATCCAGCTTATGTCTGTAGACTATTTTTGCATTAATATAAGGCCAATTTCTCAATATACAGGGTTCCTACTCAAATTTTTGTTTTGAATTCCCTGACTTTCCCTGACCAACTTTGTCCAAATTCCCTGACCCTCACATTTCTTACAGTGTGGAATAGCGACATAATAAAACAGCTTTTACTGTGAACATTGAGTATATCTATCCCTCTTTATGCACAGTTGATATGCTTCAAAGACTGTCACATTAAAAAAATACAGTACATACATCCTGTAGAAAAATGTTTGATAGAATCCACAACTTCAATGTAATGAAAAAATAAGCAATTTACAAACAAAACATGAGCTTTTTATTTTATCATCATTTATCATTATTATTTGTATGTAAATCTAGTAAATACAAGGTAGTATAAAATCAACAAACAGTATTCTTTGATAAACAAATAGTACTGTACTATGTTTAAAATGAACTCTTGACTTAGAAACACATAATTCTAAAACTAATCTTTCAACAAAAAGAGTAACTTTTTTTAAACAACAACATAATTTTAACAAAAAGTTAAATTAAAAAATTTTTAAATAAAGCATTTTTCCTATGTAAAAAAATTGATGATTGTATATAAAGAGGAATAGGTGTAAGTTTATACTATAGCTTCTCTAACAAATGCATCTAATTTATTGTAAAATCTTTTTATTTTTTTACAAAATGGACAATCAAAATACAGAGAAACTTCTTAGTATTTAACAGTTAGTATTAATCCTCTTTTTTCAAAATACAGATAATTAGAAAATAAAAAATTAATTACAGTTCACAAAACACAAGAACTATTATATTAATGTAGTTTTAGCTTTTTCTCCTCAAGTGTATTTATTTTCATTTCAATCTCTTTTTCTTCCTTTTCGTGATCTTTTTTTAACATTTTCTTGTGTTGTTTTAAATCCTTAAGTTGTTGTGTAAGATTTCTTTTTTCTTCAGCCCTCAATGTCTGCTGCTTCTGAATATCTTTTTTCTGTTGCAGAGATACAATATATTGCTGTGTAGATCCTCTGACTGTTAACATTTTCTGATCTATATTTATTTGATCAATACCACCTGCAAAATGGATTCCCATCATAAATTATGCGTTGAGCAACTAAACTTGCAAAAAACCACTCTCAATGCTTGATTTTCCCATGTGAGAAAGAAAGAGAAATTTTGATAATAGACCATAGATCTTGCATTGCCTATCATCCTTCATAATTTCACAATAAAATGTGTCCAGACCATCATCATCACTCCTTTCAGATATGAAGTCCTCAAACTTTGTAGATAGGGTTTTATGGACACTTTATTGCAGAGTATATCATACTGTTCTTTTGCTTTGACAGCACATTTCTCATCAATCCTGTTTGTATCATGTAGAACCTCCAGTAAAACATTGAAATACAATTTTCCAACATTTGATTGCATTTTAATAATTTATCACAAAAGGTGTCAAAGTGCTGCTAAAAAATGTTGATTTTGTGAGAGACTGTTCATTAGTGATCTTAGATATATCTTCCACAACAGAAGCCATCTAATCTGCTCAAAGCCTTCACACATTTGTACTTGATAGATCTCTTCTCAATAATCTTTTATGTCATCACTTTCAGCACATTTCAACAATCTCTTAAAAAACACAGAATATCCTTGTTGCTTAATTTCAATTCTTTTAAAACCATTTTTGCTCCAAAACCAATATCCAAATTCTTCAGAGGTACCAAGTTTTCATTGGCATTTAAATCTATTTTTAGAAACTGCTTGTCAGTGACCCTGTCATTTTTCACAAACTTTCTCATCAGGTTCATTAATAATTGAACAACTGCTTTATAAAAATAGGGTGCAAGAGGTTTGTTGCTCTGAAATCTGGTGAGAAAGCTCTCAGTTTGTGTACATATTGACTGAAAAAATAAAAGTTTAAACTTTAATAAAGGGATCATTGAGTGCCTGTCTCAAGAATGTAGCTATATTGCTGTCTTTCAACTTTGTACTGTTGTTTATGTATGTCTTCACAGATTCAACAACTTCTGTTGCACGTTCTAAGCACTCTCCATTATCCAACCACCTTGTTGAACCAAACTTTTTGGAAAATAATCTGCTTCCACTTATAGTAATAAATTCAGCATGCCGAGTGGGTGAGTCTTTTAGCAAATAGTACAAATTCCATAGCAGTGGTAACAAATTCCAATCTTCTACTTTAAAACCAGCTTTTACAGCACCATGGACTCAGGGCCGCCGTAAGCGGGTGTGCAAGGCGTGCACCGCACGCGGGCGGCACGTCAAGGGGGCGGCAAAGAGCCTTTCTGGCAAGCTCAGCATAGGTAATCGTAGTTAAACAGGGGGCGGCATAATCGGTATTGCACACGGGCGTTCACACAGCTAGCGGCGCCCCTGCATGGACTACATGTAAACCACATGTTCCCATTCTCACAAATGATTTACTAACATTCTGTCTCTCCATGTGATCTTCTGATTTATTCAGAAAACTTATGTTTACATTTGGTCCGTCCATACAGATATGAAGAATTTTTGCAAGATCAAGACGAATGTCTGAAAGGCCATTGAGAAATGCAGAGAGATCATCTGCTATACTGTGATCCATAAAGACACTATTTAAATATCTGGTCATAACCTTATCTTTACTCTTGTCCCAGTATTTTATCACAAGATCCATTTGAGTTCTTTGAGCAACTTTGTTTAGTGATTTGTCAAAGGAGATAGTAATATTATTGCAACTTGTAACAGCATTAATCAATTTTTCTCTGAAATAATGGGCTATGCCATAATTTATTATATAGGAAGCTTTATCTGGACCCAATTGAAATTGTGTGGCTATAGGACTGTCAGGGAACATTTTTTTGAAAATGTTTTTAATATCAGAGCATGAATTGAGTGACATCTTTTTCTTTACAACTGCCAATGTCCAAGTTATCTCTGCTTTTATTACATCATCTTTTATCACAAAAGGTGTCAAAGTGCTGCTAAAAAATGTTGATTTTGTGAGAGACTGTTCATTAGTGATCTTAGATATATCTTCCACAACAGAAGCCATTTCACACACATTTTGTTGACTATTAGAAGAACCTAGATTAGAAATTAGAAGTTGGAGTAAAAACCTTATCAGTGAAGTTTGTTCCGACTTCAATCTTTTTATTTCAACATGACTAGAACTATTTGCATGTGATACTAATGCACGCTTTCCCATATTACTTAATGAGAAAACTTTACAACAAATGCAGCAAAATGCTTTTGTATCATCATCTTTTACAGTTCCTAACCAGGAATTGAATTCTGGATGAATAGCTGGATCCAGCCATTGGAGATTAAACCTCGTTTGTTTCCGTGCCATTATAATTTAAGAATGTAGAAAAACACAAACCTTGAATAATAATATTAAAAGACAGATGAACCAGATCAGATAGCAATGCGTAAGACGTTTTGTCACAACAGTACGTAAAATATTCAAACGATATCCAATCAGCAACTGATATACATTAATTAAAAGTAGTGTTGCCAACTCAAAATTCAAATTTACAGCTAGACATTTTAATAAAAATAACCAAATCATATTGTTTCCATTAGAATTGTTTGATTTTTTAAGCTAGATTGTTCATAAATCTACTAAATCTATAAAAAATAGCTGAATTGGCAACTCATTAAAAGAAAAAAAAAAGTTTCGTTGCCGCCATTTTGATTTCGGTTTCG